ACATGGTGCACTTTCGGAAGGACTGGTTGAACAGCGGCGGGTCCAGAGAGTCCAGAGCATGTCATCCACCAGCAACAGCACCAGGATGTCCCAGTCATGTGATGTTGCCCCAGGGTGCAAAGGATGTGGGGCCGCAGGGGCCAGGTGAAATCATGAAAATCATGTGGAATCTGATGACTCCCCTCTTCAGGGCACACTATGTCACTATGATCTTTTGGAAGGCAAACCCTCTGGCCATTGTTCCTCTCGTTGTCCACGCCAGGGCTTGGCTCACATGCAAAATACATCGAAAAGACTCCACCTCCAGTCCAAGCGGTCCAGTGTGAAAAAAGGTGGACAGTCCTCGATGTGGTCTCTATTCGACATTCGTTGGCGCCTCAGTTTCAGGTGCTTGGCTAAATGGCGTTAGTATAAGGCTGAACATTGCTGGCACGATGAGGAGGATCCAATGCGACAACTCCAATTGCGGTTGGGGATCTCCACCACGGATTTGGTCCTGCACCTCTTACTGTTGGCCCAAGACTTGGATTGCCAATCGATTGTCAAAAGCGTAGGGCTCAACCCATGACCTATACCATCCGGCACCTTCTGAGCAGTCCAACTTGAGAAGCCTACAGCAACAAGTGTTCAAGAAACAAAGTACTCGGAGGAAGTCATACATCGTCTGAGATAGGGAAAACAGCAGTTGTGATGACGGTTTCACCTGGAGTGGTGCAAGTGTCTTAGAGTCTTCCATCAATCAACAGCATCACACCATTCTTATACTCCAATCCTGTATCCTTTTAGTGACTCGTCTGTGAAAGAATCATACAAAAAAAGAATTGGATCTTTTTAACTTCCTCCTAAAGCCCTGTAGCCATCTATAGTATTTCTATAGTGTATACACACAAATCATCACAAATCACCAAAACATCATCGTCCAAGGATGCTCTCACCTCTGTTGGAAGTCCGGAGTTTGGCCACTGGCCCCACGGACTGTGGGAGACAAGGTGCCCAGATTGGGCACTGAGAGCTCGTTGGCCTCGTGGGCATCGATGGTGGTCAGTCCATGTCGAGGGAATCAGGTTGGTATGGAGGGTTAGAACATCAAATCGACCATACCAACCAGGGTGAGTTTGTATGGTTTGTTGGGCATGGCTTGGTATGGTTGGAACAATATCAAATCAAACCAGGGTGAGTTTGTTCTGTTCCGTTCTCCCACCAATCTGTGTTTCATGAAAGCTTGTTGTGCTCCTTTGGGGATTAAACGCTCTTGGCAATTCCTTTGAGATACCTATGACGCCAAGTAATTCTGGTGACCGGAAGTGCGACCGGGCTTTTCAGAAAATTGACCAACGGAACTTCTATCTCAAGAGCGCCAAGTAGGCAGATGTAAGCAGAACCAATGTGACAGTGAATCGACATAATGTGTACCCATTTGAATTGTACCAAAGAATAGAGACGTGTTATATATTCAAAAAGACATGATGTTCATCACTCGTTCCATGGCACAGTGGATGACCCGAGCACAAACCTGAATCCACCGTCACCTGCAGCCCCGCTCAGGACGTGGCCTTCTCTCTTTCTTTCTTTTTGGCCTAGCACTCTCGCTTTCTCCGATTCGAAACATCAATCGCAGCCTTAACAAATCTGGTTTGGCATCGTTTCATGTTTTTCTTGGGGCCAATCGTCTCAGGTGTTGGTATCCAGGATCCACAGTGATCTGAGCTGCAGGATCCTCTTTCAAACCATTTCCTTGTAGTGTCGAATCTGTCCATCTGCCGTCACCGGTCGAGGTCGAAAGCACCACGCCTTCTTCACGTTGGCCGCTTCGTCGGCGTCCACTCGGCTGACCACCGCACAGTCCATGAGCTTCTTCGCGGCATCCTGTCGGTGGTGAGTTGGTCACCGGGTCACCGGGTCACGCGGAAGTAGGGTCAGCGTGGTGTTCGGAAACTCAAAAGGTTGGTTTCGGAAACTAAAGCGTGGGTAGTTACATGTAACTTATATACTGAACATTACTTTATTCATTGAGTAGAATGCCACACTGGAGATGGCAACCTGTCTGGTCGGGTCTGGCATTGGCAGGGCCTGACCAAAGCATTCTTCGCACCGGAACACAGTTCACCATCCGGCCTTGAACCATGGAACGACCTGGGCCGCGAGACGCCCATGATGTCAGGTGCGAGACGGTGTGAGACTGTTTGCGTTTCGGGGCAGGTGTCAACCGGCCTGCAGTGCCAGCCTCTGGACCACGGACCTGGAACAAACCGCACCGAACAGTTGGGGTCGCCACCCGCGTCAAGGGGCTTTCTTCCACTTCTTGTCGGATGATGAAGCCTCGCTGCTTGCCTGCAGAACGGACCACTTGGCAGGTCGGATCAGGGGGATCCAACTCTATTGAATCCAATTGATCTTGGCCCACATGCTAAACAGGGTGGCCTGAGTTGCCAGAAGCTTGGTTTTCCCGAAGTGTGGTTTTCGCACTGAGCGGAGCGTTCTTGTCGAAGCACGACCGGCCCCCCCGGCCTGCATTCTTGTCTTTATTTCGCTTCGACCGGCCTCCGGCCGCCTGGTCCTTGGAGCGAGCGGTGCGGTAGGCGCAACACCGGTGAGAGCGGTGGCCACTGAGATGCCAACGTCTTCGCAGATGGCCTCCTGGTAGACCGCTTTCTTGGAAGAGACGGCTAAATACCTCCACTCGGTCAACATGGCAACGTTTCGCCCAGGAGGGTCCAATACTTGGATGTAGTGAACTCACTATGAACTGGAAAGGCCACAAGCTGTTTGGCGTTATGAATCGTCCCGAATGCCATCTAGAAGCGGTCGACACTGACACTGATATCTTGCCTTGTGACTTTGATGGCTTTCCATGCTTTTTCTGGTATCCCACCGCGCCGCTCACAAGCATCTTTGCAGCTCATCCGGCGCACGTGAGCTGCTCCAGGGGCAACTGCTGGTCCTAGCAGCAACCAGTGAAGTTTGAAGTTTCTGTGGATGGATCTCCGATTAACACCTCTAATTAGCTACTTCAAGCTTCATCTGGGGTAAAACCAGCATGGCATCACTATCGACATCGGCCCAGTGGGTGCTCGCCACTTTCCAAACAACTAATTATTCTTATTCCAGCTTTTTCAGTAACAAAATACAATCAGTCTACTGTGTATAGATAGCTTCTCTTTGCATCCACAAAATGGACAATGGCAAGCCAACTGCCTGGATCTTCACAAATTCTGGCAGTTTTGGTTATTGACCCGGTTTTCTGCGCAAACACCCGCAAATCAGCGCAACCGACAAAACGACCGCCAATTAGCGCAAAACGCACGTAAAAAACAAGCAAACGACCACAAAATTCCGCAAAACAACGCAAAACAAACAAAACGACCAAAACGACCTTAAAACCAAAACGACCATAATTTGTTGGTAGTTGGAAGGTCCAGGTGGTTTTCATGCTGTGCTGGTGCTCATCACAAGGGTGGTCACTTGGGAGATTCCTTACTTCCAAAAGAGCCACATGTTAAAACAATATTTGGCTTGGCCACTCTCCGTGCCGACTCATCCATCGACCGACTCGAACATCTACTGGGCGACTGAGGCTGCGGCGGAGACCACCACGGTGAAGACCTCAGGGTGACGCGGACTCAGGCAACGTGGTTTCGGTATAAAGTAGACACTGCACCGATTGCAACCGCAGGTAATCCATCGATCTATCTATCTGTCTTGTCTTGTCTTATCTGATCTATTGTAATTTCCTTATGATTTACTGCAACCTTTCCTACGAGATAGACTTGTTGACTGAGTGGTTTCAGAAAGGAGGCACCCGTCGAGGACGCCTACGAACGCCACGAAGCGTCTTGTTGCTTCCTTTATGCGTCCACCACCACGTCTCGATGCACCAGATATCGATGGCAGCAGCGCAGGGCCCCAAGCCGTGGAATCGCGGTTGATCCAAATCTGAGCACCATCCTTTCGTGGTGTCATCGACATCATCGGCGGAGCAGTTCTTCAGGCAGTTTTTTGTTGGTTTTTTCAGCCGCTTCCTTCAATGGCTTACTTCACTGGCAACACAAACATCAGACTTAGGGGAGCTTTTCTGAAGGTTGCATGCATGGAAAGCAATGGTGCAGTGGTGCTTGGTTGCAAGGCATGTTGAACACGTCCCAAGCTCAAAGCAGCTAGATCACATGCTCTGGCCAGGCCTCGCCAACATACCAGCTCATCCTGGGGACAAACAATGGACCATGGAGAGCTGCCACTGCATGGAACTGGAACGTCTGCCTCCAATTAGCTATAGAAGTCTTGCCAAAAGTCGTCCTTTTACATCAAATCAATATATGACACTGTGACACCTTTCAATTTCAACGCAGGTTGCAAGGCTTTTCAAGGAACACACGGTGATCCGAGGGAGTCTCCGACAAGGAACTAGGTCCAAAACGGGAAAATGTGGCTGAAACGGCCAAGCCGGGAAAGGCAGGATCGCCAAGATAGTCAGGATTAAACTGTCTGGATTTTCTGGTAGTGGAGAGGGTCATGTTCCGGTGGCTACACTATCTGCTCTACAGACCGTAAACTGGAGTGATTCTCCAAGCGTTTTGGTTGAATGTCTGGCAACGGAACCACCATTTAGGAATCGTTGACTGATTCACCTCTCTTGGAGAAAAAACGATTCACTCAATTTAAGAGGGCCTGGATAGGTTCGGTTCAAAGGAACGAGTTCGCTGGATGCACTGCTTTTGCCCGCTGCTCTTTGCGTCTCTTTGCTTCTTCTCTTTGAACCCAAACAAGCAACACATGCAACACATGCATCAAGCTTCAGTTGGCAGTTGGCTCATCCTCAAAGCTGCAGCTGGGTCAATGGCCTCAAATCAGGGAACTTTGCAAAGAGAGATGAACAGAGTGTTACGGGGTAGTTTGGAAATACAACAGATCAAACGTTTAACATGAACAAATGAACCCTCCTCCTGCTTCGGGGATGTTCATGAATTTTTTCTGTTTCAAAAGCCGTCCCCGCTGTTCGATCCTTTTTTGCTCCTTGACCTTCCACTGAAGCAGAACGCTCGTTCAGTGGCGTCATAAGATCTGCAGGGGAGTGGATGAGCGGAGCCTGCGCTCGTCAGAGGGCCTGTGCGTGGGCTCTCCGTTTCGATGCGTCCCCCATGCAAATGCAAAATGCCAGGGCGCCCTGACGCGCCATCTGGCGATAAGTCCGCATTCAAATGCTATGTGGGACGAGAAATGTAGCGCAAAGCTACATCTAAGCTGTAAAATTTGAGGCAGCTGCCAGCTTGTGCAGGCCCAAGGTCAGAATGTAGAAGTGACAAGGGAGTGAACATAGGTGTTGCAAATTGGGACAATTGTTTCAGTGCCCCATCCAATACACCCCAGCCTGGACATACCAAGAGCCTAGAGCGTTCTCAGTGCATCATTTCTGTGGCGCATGGGACGTCCTCTCACTCTTGCCCCAAACCTCGGAGGACGGTCACAGGGGTGATGGCGGTAGCCATGGATACCCAGGGTTGGTGAACACATCATGGTCATACCAAAGTTGCTGAAGGGGCCCAAACTGCTTCCCATGAGGTGGTCTTTTTGGACCCGCTATGTTTCCCTACACTACACCACTTTTGACGTTATCGTTGCTTTTTGTCATTTGGGTTTACAGGGTGCGTTTCTATACTTTCAATGTGTCTGGGTTCCTTCTTGTAGTACTCACAACAAGGAAACAAGAAAGCGTGTCATGATCACGAGTCCGGGCAGTCAGTCAGGCATGACAGGGGGAGTCGAGCTCGACTCCCTAGTTCGACCCCTGAAAGAAAGAACATAGACATAGACCAGTTTACACTCCCACTCACCAGCATGGATGTGGAAGACCGCCTGTGCGTAGAGCAAAATGGTCTGACTAGAGTCCAAATTCTTCCATGTTCGTGGGTGAAAGTGTACTCCCTTGGGCCCATAAGGGTCTCCGGAATCTCCCTGTTTTGATTCCAAGGTCACACCCCAAATTCCATCCATTCAGCTGCTCAGCGCTTCAACTCAGCTCCGGGCGGGCGGCCTCTCGACCCCATCCAGGCGCATGCGCATGCACCTGGACGAGCGAAATCCATCGCAAAACACCGAAGCCAAGGCCGAAAGGCTTTGGGGTTTGGCCATCGGGGTTGCAGCAACTTTTTCGGGATCAGCCTATAGTGAGATGTTTCAAACATACTCAGCAAGATGGAAACTAGTGTCCACTAGTCGGTGAAGTCATTGAGCCATGAATAAATGATAACTTCCCGAGCAGGCCAGGCATTATACAAAAAAAACAGAAAACAGCCATGCAATGTAGTCTTTAACTTTAACAAGATCAAATGACAGAATAGTGGATTTGAGCTAGAACATTAACATTGGCTGAATGAGTCTGGCTTCGAAACCAGTCAATAAGTTAAAATAGCTTGACCAGCACAAGCACAAACCGAATACAATGGTGCCTCCTCGAAATCTGGACTCGACAGCACTCTCTAGTGCAGTCTCAGACACTTTTCGAGGCTCTGCTGAAGCTGGTCCACCTTCTCTGTGTTGCTCATGTTGGAAAACCACACCTCCACAAGGTGGAACCCAGAACTTTTCCATGGCGAGGGTCAAAGGACCCCTTAAAGGAAGGTCAAAGGACCCCCTCTCAAGGAGTGCGACAACTATGACTAGGACATGATTGAGACAATTCACTCAGAATTGACCGCCATCTGTAGAAGGCCATGAAATGCATTGTTTCTCATCGATCATCCGCCAAACAATCCATCCCAATACCATCCCAGCTCACCTCGATTCGGACGTGTGGAGTACGCTTATGTTGCAGCTTGTCCACCAGTCGTACTCCCGTGACCATGTCGGCATTCCTGACTCCGAGGCCAAAAAGGTAGGCCCGGACTCAAATGGACCACTTCTTTGGCAGGTCCATCTCCCCATCAGGTGGGCCGGATCTTCCGGACCATCTCCCCATCTCTTCTATTCGGAACGACATGACCAGGACCATTGGCGAAAAATGAAGGTGAAAAAATGTGAGTCTGCTTGGCGTGATTGCCAAGGGGCACCACCGACCCTCCAATCAAGCTGAGCACCGTATTGTTCCAAATCCTCAGAGAGGCAGCCAGGAATATACCCCTGTCAAAGCTTCAACAACTGGAACCTCAAGTGCACTTAAAGGGGCTCCACGGTGCACGTCGTACATCTTTATTGGACGTCACCCTTGTCATTGGAGTCTCTTTCGTATCTATTTGTCATGACTCCAAAGATCTCGAAAAAGTCTTGACAAACGCCCCAAGACTCCAAGTCCCGGGTGTTTATGCAAAAACTTGTCCAATCCTGTAGGGTTACCGGTGTCGCATGGTGTCGTCAGGACCGGAAGTGGCTGCCAGTTGTGCGTTGACCGGAGTCACCAAGTGCCAGGCTCATCGATCAAACCTCCACCGAGGGCGGCCTCCGTCATACCATGGTGATACATGTGACAGCCAACATTAAGACCAAACAAGAGCACGACGCCTAACGACTCTAGATGAGATCTATCTATCTATCTATCTATCTATCTATATTATATGTATATAGTCATTTACATACACGTTTATACACTACGTGTGGGAATGTGAGCTACGATCCCATGGCCTCAATTTCCGACCTCTTCGGACTTCGTCAGATTCAGTGAACGCGAACGGTCCCTTTGGGCTTGCCCAAAAGCGACGGCTCTTTCGCCTTCAGTTGGTACGTGAAGTGCCCGCCGGTGGCGTTCACGGCATCCTGACACGTTCACATCACCAGTGGCATAGTGGCAGTGGAAGCTGAGGAGTGGCATGGCGCAATGATGCAATGGCACTGTGAGCCGTTTTGGACATCAAAGGCCAGAAAAAAGAAAGCATTTGTCGAGATGCTTCAGAAGGCAATGAATGGCATCCGAATGCAATGAATGTGATATATATACTTACTCCTATATCTAAGTGAAAAAAATACTCAAACATGTTCACTAGGTGAACTCCCCTGGCGAGAGCTGTTCCATAATTCTGCGTGATCTTGACCAGTTGAGACTGCCTCCCACTCAGGACGGATACCATCTTTGAAAAGCATCAGGGCCTGAGGAAACTCCACAAACTCGAGAGTGAGTTGGAACCAGGGGTAACCACGCTGACTCACATGCCGTGGTATATTATACAGTATACATGGTGTTCTATGTACAACCACCCCCCCGACAAACCACTTGTCATGACGGGAAAACAGCAACAAATAAAGATAAATAAAGCATGTTGTCGAGAATCTCATGACTACTCTCATGACTAATCTCATGACTTTGAGACGCAGCCTTGTTGCAACCACCAGCCAAACCAGTTACTGTTGCAGCTAGACACTGTTCTCACATAATGGATCTACTGCTAGATTCATCCAAGCGGTTTCAAAAAAAACAGCACTGGGGCTCAGGCATCAACAACCATCCGACTGTCATCCTGGCGATGTGGCCAACAAGACAGGCTGGTCAAGTCTCAGTTTCACAGGTTCTCATTTTCTGGTAACACCTCGCACACAACTCTGACCAACTCTATTGCGAATACGTGTACTTCACAACGTTTCTCGATCTCCCAGAAGTCACACAGGAAAAACGGCCTTATTGATCCGTAGAAACTTCTTCCCCTCCAGCAAGAAACTGGGTTGCGGCATGTGGTTCCAGTACCTCCATGCTGAGCCATGTGGCTAAGATCTGCCATAGGCAAAAAACATGTGAGAGTGCACACAATGCACAACCACACAGCTGCTGTCAAGCTACAAGCAATTAAACACGGCAACCCACCAATGCAACCGAGGCAAGCCAACGAATTCACAAACAAAAAATAGAGAACGAAGTGCAGCTGCGATTCCTGGTGCCACAACCGGCAATCCGTCTGTAAGCTCCTGACTTCCAAAAGCCTTTGATGGTCTCCAGAGTGGCAATGTGTTGGGTGGCTTGGGAATACCTGCCAGCGCAGGTATAAACAACAGAACATCTCCAAACACCTGCTTGGGTCTATGTGCTTGCAGACTTCAACCCAGTGGATTCATGAGAGAACACACTCTTTCTTAAACGCTCATTGGACAATTGTGGTCCAAACATCCTCTCCGAACAATGACCGACTCGATTCGCTGGACAAATGCCGACTCGATTCGGCTCACTGAGAGCTGTCTCTCTGAGCAGCAGAGAGGCCCAGTTGCTCCTCAGAAGAGAGAATGACCGGACAAGTGACGGGACAAAGGAGCAACCGAGAGAGCCAATTGCTCCAATCAACTGGGATCAGACCACCTGGGAATGAAGGGCCAGATTGTTCAGCTCTTTACCATATTGTCATCTGCACATCTGACCACCTGGACAAAGATTCCTGAAGGTCCCAGAACCACCATTTTGTACGTAGAAAGATCCTCCAATCAATAGAATGTCTTGCTGCAGTATCAATCGGTCTCCCAGCCTTTTCAGTCTTGGGAGTCTTGGGATGTCTCAAAGATCTTTGGACCGACCCTGTCGGATGCCCAAAGCACCACTGAGTCAAGATGCCCAAAGCACCCACTTCTGTTCCAGCGCAGGGTCCTATGCGAAGCACTGGCCGAAGGAATGGTCGTTACGGCCTCCACCCTAGATGCGATGGCCTCCAACCTAGGTCCTAGGTCAATTCTGGACTGCGTTCTCACATAGCATATACTGTCATCATATGGCATTTTCTTCCATGCGCCTGCTCCGTGTTCTCACTGCAGTCATTTGACCTCCCCGCACTCATCGCTGCAAAAGAAACAAACGCAGCAATATGATTGGGTCATTGGCTGCATCAGCACCCTAATGGAAAACACCCAGACCTCCGCTGGAGGTGAGAGGTCGTCATTCTTCGACATCTCTGCTTGCTCGGTCATGCAGCTACCCATGTTGCACAAAATTGTGTCCATCATTGCATCAAATTGCATGTTGCAAGTCGACTTCAAATGGTCCTGTTTTTGGACGATGTAGTTGTGCAGTTATATGTACTGTAATAATTCTATTCATGGCACCCTGAAGAACCCTGGTAAGAAAAACTGTTCAACCGATCCAAAGAGCCCTGAAAAATCCCAAAGGCCCCTTCCTGAGAGAAGTGATCCTTTCATCTCCGGATTCTCATCGGGGCCCCGGCTCTAAAAATGTATCAATCTGCGGTGACACGGTGGAATTGAAGCTCAAGAAGGGCCTCGATGCTCCAAACAGAAGGGCCGCGGATTTCTTCTTTCGGATCTTCGGAACGAAAAGGTGGACGGAGTCACTTGGTATGGGTTTGGTCCCTTGGTATGAATCTTGAACATGCATGTACCAATGACATAAATATAGAGAGCGGATTGCGCTGGGGGGTGGGTTTTTAATTCATAGGTTTTTTAATGATTTCTAGCTTGTTTGTTAATGTACAGATGTGAGGCATTTCCAGATGATTGGAAGCAGATGATGCAGTTGCAAGATGTGTTTCTACTTTCTTTTGTCAGAGCCAGCATGACAGTAAAGAAGATGATTTTTGGAAGAATGCATAAGGATACTACCACAGTCAAATCATCTGCTGCAGACAATGCAAGCAAGGAGTTGGCGCTAAGACATCTCATTTTTCCGCGCTAGTTCTGTTCCAAAATCTAGTTCTAGCAAGCATATGCTTTGCTTACCTTAGACACAGCTTTCTTGAACTTGTTCAAGTAGCTGGCCTTGTTTTCAGCCACAGCTTGGTTGTGCAATTTGGAAAAGTACAGCACCTTAAAAGTGTGGCGAATTGCACGTGCCTCATTCAAAATCCGTGCATAATTGCGAAACCAAGAGAAAACTTGTTCGCAAGCCGACGTATTTGTCTTCGCAAATCGCCGAGACAAACGCTTGACGTAGAGTGGATTGTACACGCAAGTCTTCTTGTGCCTGTGGGCGTGGAACTTGTCAAGGCTCCAATATTTGATTTGGGAGAGGGACTTCTTACTTGCATGAGTCGGTGCGAAACCACAGACACGGTCCATGATGAATCCATTGACTTTCTGGTACAGAGGCAAGACTTTCTCCAACGACTTCTGGACCACTGGGTTGTTCTCCGGCTTGTCCATGGCAACCACACAAAGAATTCGTTGATCCTGCGGGTTGACTAGCGTGAACCATCCATGCCCAAAGGGTTTCAAAGAACCGTCTTTCCGAGGTCGTCCTGCATGTGTGGTAGTTTCGCCACATTTGATGTGGACCTTCGAGTGACCATCTCCGACAAGTTCAGTCACTGATGCCCTCTTTTTGGGTGGGAAAGCAACCTTGTGCACATAGTCATCATACTTGCGGAGCGCAGCCTCTGAGATTTCATCTCCAATGACAATGTCTTTCTCGCACCCAATCAATGAGAGCTCCTGCAAAGCCAGCCAGTACATGACACAGTCTGCGTGCATTGCACGGAAGCGAACTTCACTGTGCTCATGGTCAAAAACTGATTTGTAAGCAGCCTCTATGGCTCGAGCGGCCAAGAAGCCTCGAAATTCCAAGGCTGAATGATATTTCAAATAATCCAAGGAGAAGCCAAGCTTGTTGTTCACAAACAGAACATCCGAGACATTCTCCAAAGTGGCTGTGTTGATCTTCTTTCCATCATCCAGCAGGAAGTTAGGTCCAAAAGTTGTGCGGCACCCATAGGCATTGCAACGCATGGTGCGTACAGTCGTTTCACATGGACCTGCCAAGGTGTACACCACAGCTGCCACATCATGCCCTTTGGAAAAGGAACGGTGTCCACAAGGGCATTTGGTGAGTTGGGTCGAATACACTTTCCGAGCTAAGGCTCCTCCAGAAATGGAATACGGCACCTGAAGCAAAGTTGAAGAGGAAGGGATGCCCAGGACAACCTTGAAGAAATAGTACCGTGGATTCAACATCATAGAGGATAGCATGCCGATGGATACTTCAACCTTGTCGTCACCATCCATTTTAATCGCAAAACCTTCTATGTGCTGCAAAGCAAAGAAATGTGAAGCCTGAATGTCAAGAACAACATATTTGCCTTGCGTCAGCGACATGTTTCGGGGGATGATCTGAAGGCTGGCACCGAGTGGACGAAGCATGACACACCCATCAAGAGCTGTAAAAGGACCATCTCGAGGACAAGCAACAGGACACCCAAGGTTCTGCAAGGCCACAACAAGACAAGCATTCTCAAAGCCATCTAAAGATCCATGACCACCCTCAAACTCCAGTGCGTTCTGCAATTCATCATCAAGCTCATCTAGTCCATCTGATTCTCCAATACCAGGGAAATCCGGATTCTGTGGCGGGTCAGCTGGCATGGCTGATGAACTAAGACTGGAATTGTTGACGCGAGACCTTTTGGCAGGCGATGGAGAAGGCGTATCCAGCTCGATGGTGTCAATGCGCTGGCTTTTGAGCTCCTTGAATTTGGAATCCACTTTTTCCTGCTTGATCTTCATGCTCATCTCATCCGGAGGCAGCAAACGCGGTGCTTGTTGGGTCTCAACTAGCTCACCACCAAACAATCCACGACCGCGAATGGTGATGGTGCGTGGGACCTGTTCTCCGCGAAGCAAGCGGGCAAGAAGTTCTTGGGACCAAATTGAATCAGCATGAAAAGACTCTGGGAGTTCATGGGCCTGCGGATTGCGTTTGTACGCCCTAAAGATTGGCCGTTCAGCTTCTGCAAGCAAATCTTTCGCCTCAGGGTTAGGCCATGGGATGAAAGGCACGCTTGTCGCACCTGTGCTAGCAAGGCGCCAATACACACCGTGATCGGTCAAGACTATAAGGTGCGTTCTGGCTAGGATAGCGGCCAAATCTGCCTTGTCCTCAACGCCAGCAAAAGAAGGAGCGACAAGGTCGAGGAAGTCTTTGTGCTCTATCTTCTGCTTTCCTGAGGCTTGCATGCCCTTCACCAAGTCTTCTTCAATCTGCATGTTGTACGGATTGTTGCAAGCATGCCGACCGGCTCCTTGGTCAAATTGCGCAGATGAATATCTGGCCCAGACGGTAGCATCCTCTTCCTGAGGCAAAGATGTAAATCTGCATCTAGAAACATCAATATATTGATAAAACTTTCGAAAACTATGTATTTGTTTGTACAGATACAGTTACCCCAAGTGTAATTATATTTTGAATTATTTTGACATAGAGATACACAAGTGAAACGTAAAAAGATAACCACAAACATATCTCTGTCGGCGAGGAGCAGACGGGTTGAGGAACGCTTTGAGGAATGAGGCATCCATTTTCTGAAGCAGACCATCATCAAAGACGCCCGGCTTGAATTTGGTGATCGGCTCCGCTTTGAAGAAGTCCAAATGCTTCGCTGTGACGATGCCCGGGACAAGATCTGTGCGTCCAGCTTGCTCAATTTCAAACCTCGACTGAGCAAAGAGGACTGTCTTGGAGCCCAAAGATTTGCCAACCCTTGTGCGGCCAATCCATGTGATAGAATGCTGCCGCATGCTTGGCAACATGTGCACGAGGATGTCGTCAAGGAACCAAGGAACAAAGCTCTTCAAAGTAAAAGGCCAATACTCAATGGTTTTGGCATTTTGTCTACCTTTGTAGTAGTTCAGCAAAGCCGTGGTAACCTTCCCCTCATTCCAACCTTCAAGAGGACCCCCGGGTTGATGTACTTGTTCATCGGTCCATTCCATAAATTGGTTCCGGTTGTTGGAGCGTGGTCCATGATCACGAATGAAGCGATAGCCATTCTCACGGGCTTGCTGATCAATGGTCATCTTCTTCTCGAACTTTGGTTTGATGATCCAAAGGCGCAATTGCATCCCACCCATGCGATCAAGCATATAATTGAAAGCAGACAGGCCTAAACGCACCTGCTGGCCCCAATCGAAACGGAAAGGATGACCATGACAAGAATTCATGCAATCCTTGGAGAAGACTTTATTCTTATGCAAGTAGATGTGCTTGAAGATGTCCACAAACTTCTCATCAGGATTAGGAGGATCAGCGGCTGGCAAGATGACTATCTGCATGCTATAGGGGACTTTCGGCTCTTCTTTCATGTTGAACGGAGGTGGAAGTTCACTGTACTTCTCCTGCGCACACAGTCGGTAGAGAGTGTTGTCCAAAAAGTCCTGCGTCACATTGAGCTTGTGATTGACAATCACATCAGCATACTGTTCGACTTTGTGGCCCATACTGTCCATGTTGCGAAGAGGCAAGTCACCGATCGTCACATCGCCCACAGGACGATCAGACTTCAAAGGCCTGCGTTCGGGACCAATAAGCTTTTGGCCATTGACTTGGACTACTGCTTCGGCAAATGTGAGTTTCCCGTCTTGGTCTCCAAGGTCTCTGTTGAAACCATCCCCTGCACCAAGCTGAAGTGCCATGGTAGGTGACAATGAGCACAAAGAAGACGTCAGGAAGCGGATGAGAGCAAATCAGATTTGAGAGCAAAATCTAGCAGTGGAAGAATCAAATGACATGGAAGTGACATCAACTACTGCAGGGACATGCATGAAAAATACCTTCAATGACAGAAGCCAGCAAATGAAGATCTTTTGTGAAACATTGCTCAGAAGTTGCATATTCAATTCTGACGTTCCAAGGAGATGAGATGTAGAGGTTCAGAATGCAGCAGATAAGAGGATGACCTGTCAGGAGTTCCAGATGCGTTGATAAGTGCATTTCTCCCAAGGAGAAAACAACACTCAAGAAAATAGAGAAGTCTGCAGAGGACCAAAAAAAACAAAAAAAA